CGAAAATATGAGGCAACAAACATAAAAAAATACAACCAAATTGAGAACCTTCACCTTTTTAAGGTCAGTTGAAAATATATATATATATATATATATATATATATATATATATATATATATATATATATATATATATATATATATATATATATATATATATATATATATATATATATATATGATAAACAAGTGTACAATCGAATACAATATGCTAAAATAATATAAAGTAAACAGAGACAAATAATGATAAGCTAAGACCAAGGAAAAATTATAAACGCACCAAACTTATTACTTTAGAAAATAGCTATTACAACAACTGAAACAGAATGTTCCTAAAGTTCTAGACCGAGGAGGAGTAAATATCAGCTAATCTGTGAAGTTTAGACATTAAACGAGCAAAAAAGTACCACTTATCTACTGCTTAATCTTCGCAACAATAAATGTATTTTTTTTTACATGGGTTTCTTTTGTAATGTAGGTAAGTTTTTAGAGACTCCTTCGAGAACTGGAAATAACGGCAAAGAAATATATACTATAGTTCCATTAAATGCCAAAAGAAGTAGGTTCTCAAGTTGTAAAATCTAAAAAGAAAATTCTTCATTGATTCCGCGTTCAAAATTCAAATATTTATTATATTTAGTATAAAATTAATAAATATTTCCAGTATAATGCCTTTTTAAAATATTTCGTAGTTCATCGGTGTATATTCATTCAACTAAAGTCGCTTTTCATGGAGCAAAATATAGTTGTTAGTCAATTAAACTTAATTCAATTTTATATCTTTTGAATTACTACACTGTGTCATTTCTGTTGCACCGTTGTGCTTGCATTACCGAGCTCAATTACTTCCAAGAGTTAATGTATATCTTACTACATACAAGCGGATTTAACGTTTGACTTGTAACTGTGTTTAACTACGATATTAAACTAAGTTATTCCTATTTACTTTACTGAAAATATATCTCGTGTGACTGCAGACTTTAGAAGTTATAATTTTTCCGTCTCTCCCGGATATATTATAACAGCATTTATTAATTCAAAATTGTATTTAATAAAAAGTAATAAAATTTCCTTTCAACTAAAATCTAAGAAATTATTACGTACATACAGGTATGTTATATAACAGTCAGTATTTAAACGATCCAAACACGAATTTGAAAAATTTCATGGTCTAGGCTCCTGAGCTTTGAATTCAGGAATTATAACGCGTGACGAGTACTATGATCAAACACTGAATTCTATGATATGATATATATCTATGATGTATTCTATGTACAAATTCCCGTTTATGTCTATTTGACTGTTTATTTGCCATTAAACTGACGGCGAACTTGTTTACTAATTCAAATAATATAAAAACTGATTCATTTGGAATCTCGTGAAAATTACCAATAATTCGTCAAACTAAAAGATAAACTATATTTATTGAGTTTTAGTCTAAGAACAAGTCCGAAATCTTTGGTTTTAGTCGCTTAGTAATAAATCAATGTCTTAGTCAATCAAAATCTTAAAAAAAATTGTTTGACGATTTAAAGAAGGTTAGCAACTATTCCATTATCTAATATTCTTTTTAGTAAGTCCATATGTCTCTCTTGGAAGATTTACATTCACAAAATACCAAGTTAAGTTGAAAACCCGTCGCCAAACCACAAACTATCGTGCTGTGCTATCTAATATCTGTCACTACTACCTAAAATTAAGTAGTATTATTATTGTGATACTCGTACCTCAAAATAATAATTAACATGCAGGATGCATAAGACTATCGTTATAATGGGAATAGTTTGTAAGCTTGACACTATATTTGAATGGCATTTTTGACATAAAAAATTATAATGATTGATGAATGAATGTGATGAATGAATGTGTTGAATATTTGTATTGGCAGGTAAATGTAGTTAAACGTTAACAATTTGACACTAAACCCATTATAAACGAGGCAACAAAGCACAAAAAAAAGAATACAATTATAGTTCTGCGGTTTCGTTTATTTGTTAAATTATTTACTGTCATTTCAATGAAAAGTTAATATGTATTTAATTAATTGAAGCATTTGTTAATTTATATTGTAATCACAATACGCTTTTCTATTTTAATTTACGATAATACGTTTGCTACAGGAATCATATGAATGGAAATGAATTCTTTGAAGTAGACGTTTCACCGCCACATCAGAATAGTTGGAACTGTTCCCTGCTCGGAAATATTGAAAATTCAAAGAAAATGGAAATCAGTGGGAGCAAGGTATAGAGTACTGTGGGTAGAGTTTCCAATCTAAACTTCCATAATTTAGAGACGCTCCCTTGTGCAGCGTGTGGACGAACATTCTCATAGAGAACCCAATGGCTAGTACTACTGATAAGACTCGGTTGTTTGATACCACAATAGTCTATTATCATTTTTAAAATTTCACAAGAAAGGAAGGGAAGGTACTGTTTGTAAAGAAGACCCCTGCAGTCCTCCCCGGAAATCATTGTAATTAAATCAAGTTTTGTCACGATGAATCAACTGGTCTGATTACATCTTCAGAGCTATATGCTTCACTGATGCCCTGTCATTGTATATCGTTAGCACAGACTGATGACCATCATCGTACATTTAAAAAAATAAAATCCTGCAATCATTTTTATTTTAAATTTTAAAAAGGTATAATACAAATGTACTCACATGTCGTATTTTAATTTGCGTTTTAACCGAAATTTATTTGATGCTCCATAACGACTGAAAAAATAACTCTTAATATTATTAGAAAGCCATATAAAAATCTTTATGGAAGGGAATAAGTATTGTTTAATAGTATCAATATGTGTTCAAAGAATTACAAGTGTCAATAATAATATACTAAGGAAAAAAATACTATTAAATATAAAAATACACATAGAACTGTAATGCTTATTGAGATATTCAGAGACAAAAATGCTACTCATGGTTTACTGTGTGTGACAATTTTGAATCGAAAACGTATCTAAAGCATGACCTACGTAATAAAAAGGATTGTTAGTGTCGATGTGTAATACCTCCATTGCTAGCAGTATACTTTAACAGGTCGACATCCATGCGGTTCCCCTTAGAAACCACCATGATTAATTCTTTTATAATTCATCACGATGGGCTAATTTTGCTGATTTCATCCTCACTTATCATCCTTCACTGGTTCCCCACCAGCGTAAACCGATAGCGTAAGCGAGGATACCATTTCATTTTCATCGATCAAATAAAACAGTCGATCTACCCACATTTCACTGAACATAATATGAAACTAACAGTCAGTGGGCGAACCTACCACCATTTCTAGAATTCATTTGTTAACTTTATTTTTTATTATAAGAGACTTGGTACTTTAACACAAATTTTATGACTGTCCAGAATCTATAAAAGAAATATAGGTACCACCAGACACATCTATATTATGTACAATAAATATCATGTAAAAATAGTAAAAACATGAAATACAGTAGATGGCGACGTTGTTATTCATAGTCTATTACAAAAATTAAACTTTTAGTAATCTATAAGTCGAACTTATATAAATTTAGTGACATTTGAAGTCGTTTAATTAAAGTACACACTATTATAGAACAAAAAATTATGTCTTTATTAACACACATCTAAAAATTTTATCATGATGTTTCCATTTCTATCGCAATTTAATAAAATACAATCTAAAATTCCATTATCACTCTCACTCAACCATTTGACGGAAACTACGTCGTAGCACTCGTAGTTAGGTAAAATTATTGTAAAGTTCTCTGAACCATTTTGCTGATGGCTACGTCGTAGCATGCGTAAATGTAGGTAAGATCTTAGCAATGCCAAGTTTTACATATAAATTAAAATATATTATTATTATTATTTTTAAATATGTTTTTGCTATGTGTACTTATAAATGTCACGACCCTCATTCCCACCAATATATTTCTTATTTTTCGTTCTAATTATTTTTATAGATATTACAATAATGTCGTAATAAATGCCAAAAATACAACCTATTTTACGTCAAGTATTTCCATATAAATGGAAGCGAAGCATTAATTTATTTATTAAAATTCCTAAAACGAAAATATGTCTGAATAGATGTAAAATTAATACACACCTTAAATTTTTCTTATCTCCATATTTTTCGTTTATTGTGTCTTTTTTTTCTTTTTCTGGCTTATAACCCACTATATTGGGGTCACGAATTAATTCTTGGCCAAAATAAACTTCGGCGTGAGCTAATTTTATAATTTTTTTTATAACATGTTACTCAAATTAGATAATTCTGTGAAAAATCAACAATAAAATCTCATTGCAATGAAAAATTCAAATAACTTGCAAATTAAAAAAGAAACATTTGCTAACATAAGTATATTTTATCTGCGTTTATTATTGTTTTCTTGTAAATTAAAATATATATCAAAAATTAACAAAACCTTACTTATAAATATGAAAAACTTTAAAAGGGAATTTATGGTAAAGCAAGAAATGAATTTTAACATCTTTATATTTATGATTTAAAAAAAAAGTTTAAAATCATTTTTTTTGTCAAAATTTTATTTATAATTATTAAAATATAATTTTAATACTGAACTGTTTTGCACAATGTACTAAAACTTTTACATTATAATATGTAGTTGTAATGAACAACAATTGTTAAAATTAATAGAAAACAATATTAATATTTTTATTTTGCATAAAATACCTACGAATAAAACTCAATAAAAAAGATTATATCCTCTAGAAAAGAAAAACAGAAAATAATGCTAGAATTAAAGCTTCTAATTTGAAAAGCAAAAGATAACCTACAACCTACCTGTAGTATATTTACAGATAACAGTATATTTGCAGAAAAAAAATACAATAATGTAGGTATGTAAACCATAACAAAACAAAGTAAGTCTCAGCTCAATCTGAAAAATAACAGAAAGTTTTCAAACGATAAAGCCTCATGGTTGAGTAAAGAGCTACTGTAATCCACGAAAATGCATTTCGCGAGATGGAAAATAAAAACAAGTACTTACTCCTTTCTCGCGCGAACAGTCCTCAGATTACACAATAAAATCACATGGCACTATAGCATTGCACTGTGACCTCACTATGGTTAACACATTTTTTTTTAATTTATTTTTTATAATTTGTGTTGGTATACGTAGTCGGGAGCACAGGAATAAGACTCGTCGGGCATACGCGACCGCGGCGCCAAAACGACTGACCGTTCGGGATGACGGTGTTGCCGTTCACACATCGGATACTTCCAGGAAAAATTAAATTGATTTAAGGGTAACCAAATGCGAAAATTTTATATAAAACTAACAACAAAAAGGTCTTACTTATGTTTGTAATAACTATTATTTTATAATAATTGTCGACTTCTATCAACGTAAACAGTTCTCGACGTAATTTTTCCATCATCAAAAAATTACGAGAAAATTGTTTTGGTGAAAATGTACATTATATTTATTGTAAATAAAGTAAATAAAAATTTTGAGGAGGTACAAAATAACATATTATGAAAAGACAAATACAAATTCAAGTGGACAGGGTGTAAAGATAGAATACAACAATATAGTGTTCGTTCGAATTTACAATGGTTACTAGATCGAAATATAAGAATACTTTTGAACCCTTTAGACTTATCCATCACCTGATCAATTTAATGCAAGATTCACAAATGTTCAGAATAGATATTATTAAATACTGTAACAAAAACTGAAACGTGACCTATATCCTCATTCCCGGCACTTCCCGTTACGCTAGCAACCCGATCCCGAGAAAATGGCGGGAACTGGCGCCTGCGTGGACCCCCTACCCTTCCCCATCCCCCTTTGTCGACGAAAACTTACCGCCAATCGAAGTGACGAATTAGGTTTGCACGATGCATCTGCTACTACCCTATTAAAACAATTAACTGTCTCACATAGATAACTTACTTTTAATACGCCATAACTTTAATGGCGCCAATATTAGTTATTGCCATATCGAAATCCATTCAAATAAGCTAGATATTTGAACTTCTAAGTACTATTTAAACACATGTGGAATTATTATTAAATTTATTCTAAATTAATCGTTAAAAATGTATAAATATAGCTCCTTTAAATAATGCTCGTTTAGTCTCTTATTGTACGTCTTTGGTTCCAAATCATATATCATAATGTATATTGTATGTACAATAAAGTGTAAATAATTAACATTGTAGATACTTATGTAGATAAATACAGTTACTTTTTATTATTATTATATGTTTAATTTTAACTAGATATTATTGAGTTTTATCTTTAGCTGCACTGTTTTTACCCTTGAACATTCTATAGTTTTCTTTCAGCTATTAGGTTGACGGTAAAAGATCCCACTATTCGGTAAGTCCGCCATTGTATATTATTTGTATTATTTTTTACAATAGACGACTATACTCTAGTGTTGTTAGTGTTCATGGGTTGAAGTAATCACTTACCATTAGGTGAACTACACGCTCATTTCACAATATAATTTTCCACATAAAAAAATCTCTCGAGACATAATATATTCACCTGAAGAAAATACCTATATACTAACCAAAATATATGTATGTCGCAAAACATGTTATTTGCAAAGTTGACTGCTATTGAATTTCTAAAATAGGTATGTATTCAATAAGGAATTTCTAAACGGTGCCGTGACATCTGCGTAAGCAAAAATCATGTTTTATACATGCATAAAACTTGGCATAAACACACCATATGTATTATACATATACCTACTTTTTTGTCATTTGTTTATGGAACCGTAAAGCGATTTGTACTGATGATAGACGCACAAAAATCTTTATGTAATTGTATAGTAGAGCCTTTAGATTCCGGCAGCGTTTGTATGGCTCAAAGAACGAGGTTTTTTTTTCAGAAATGTTGTACACGTATAAAATATTAAAATCACACATTGTAGCCATTCTTATTAGATACTAGTGATCTGCCCTGGCTTAGCGCGATTTTTTTAAAATACATAAGTATTTAATTTATCCATTTATACAAACAAAAAATCAAAACTTTCCCTTTTATAATACTATTCTTCATTATCATACACAATATAGTGACAAAACGTTCAATTTTAAAAGTAATATACAAATGCAAGCTTATCTCTAATATTAATTTAGATTAGATTTATAATAAAAAGATGTATTCATTGCACTAGTAAATATGGCTACGTCACAACAATTCAGAATACCCACCCACATATATGAATTCATCCGAAAATTCATTAACCTCTTTCGTTATAGGTTCAGTAAAATTTGAGCCAATTCTAAAATGTTTTCATAACATAAATAATAAATTTTGTTTGCATTACGAAGTTTAGTTTTAAAAGCACACGAGTTACTTTTAGTTAGAGAAGTCTGTTGCACAATCGTGCTTCAGAGCATTAAAATAAACTTTTGTTAATAAAGTGCGATACACTGAGAACGTTTTATTTAAATATTGTCCAAATATAATTCCTGGACATATTGAACTACACCAGGTGTTCATGACTCATTTTTAGCAAAACTCTTTTAATGGAGTGAAAATGAAATGGAGACCTCACCTGCTCTATCGATATTCACTTGCGGAGTACCAGTAAGAAATATATAAAAAAAACAAGTAAGTTTAGTTGACTGATTGTGATAAATTAATAATAATAATAAACTTTATTAACAAATACAGGGTTGCACAGTTACATGTTTTTTGCCCTAGCTTACAAATTAGGGTAATCTGTGCCTTGTAAGCCATTTATTTTGTAATTCATTATTAACATTATATTAATTCATTATTATTCAATAATTAACCTATAATGTTTCCGCATAGTGATTGACCTGACATGGTATATTGTTAGCACTAACTAACCTCAACTAACCTCGCTATTAAAGAGGAAAGGGATTATTAGTAATAGGGTCTTACAGCTCCATTGCTAGCAATATATGGTATATTGCTATATACCATATCAGGTATAGACCATATCAGGTAGACCACCATGCGGTTCTACCTGCGTAACATCATAGTTAATTCACGATGGGCCAACTAACCTGTTTTAATCCTCGTTTATCTATCATCCGGCACAAGTGCCAGAGTAAACGGATAATACAATCGGAGATAACTTTCTGTTTCTATCCATAAAAAAAATAACCTCGCTATTATTAACAATCACTTCCCCTCTAAACTCATGACTTGTCCGTGATTGTCCCACGTTTGGATACAGCCGTGAACATATTTTCTTAACAAGCCATTATAGTACGACAACTGAGCACGGGTCTCTTCCGATAAGAAGAAGATATAGCCTACTAACACCATCCTGACCAGGGGTTTGATATGGGTTAGGTGTTTATATATTTTAGGGTTTTTATTTCGGGTTTTTCCTTCTATTGCACGGGTGTATTTTACTTTGTTCCCCTCGAAATGAAACGAAGTGGCGACACATTGTTTTCATATTTTGTCAACATTCGAAGCTATGTTAGATACAATATATGAATGAATATGTTTCCTTTTATATTTTTATTAGTTTTTACGCGCGACTTCTTCCGCGTGACCGAAATGTGTTTACTGACCGGAATAAAAAACTGCCTATGTCCACTATCTCATATAGTCCATGTGTACCGAATTTCATAGTGATTGGTTAAGGTGATTAAACATAAGAAGTAACAAATAAACTCAATTTCACATTTTTTATGATATTACTCTCTTTTCATTTAAGAGTTTCCTCTTGTCGGTGCAACTAATTCTAATACTAATTTATTATCTACTAATAGCATAAAAATATTAAAGCGAGTATTAATACAACCGATCATTATTTTTTGTTAATTATTATCTCTCCCTTTATGAAGGAAGCCTATGTTCAGAAGTAGACAGTTAACGGCTGATATGATGATGATGATTATCCTCCAATTTCACTCCGTAAATTTTGTAGCAGTATAGAATAACTCGTTAGTAGCTACTTATACAGTTTACGGAAAATCTATTATTGTATACAAATTTGAAAACATTGAACCAAATGTTTTTTTATTGTTATGATTTTCAGCTTACTTCATCAAGTACACGAATATAAATAATGTAATAATATATATAAATATGCCACTATTAATTACATATTATAATTAAAATCCACTAGTAATACAAGATATTCTGAAATCTTATTAGATTAGACCACTAAAGTCCTTTTTATACTAACTTGATGACAAACAAAATACGGGCCGTTTAATTCTAAAATAAAATAAATAATGATTAGTAAGTAACACCAGGGTTGTCATGTACGCTTTCTCAAACCTAATTAAAATTTGTTATGACTTTTTTTAAGAAACCTGTACTCTAGAGGAAATCTCGGCAGGTCTTTTTCAAAGTAACCAATTACTAAGCTTCAAAATCACTTTCTTAACAAACCTTATTGCAGGACCTGTGACTGCATTAACAAGGACGTATAGTATGGATAGCTTAACCATTATACTATAGAGGTCGACAATTATCTCGAATGACCTATTTTGTTACAGTTTAGTAGTGGCAAGGGATGGGGAAATGTGACCCTTAAAATTGTTAAATCTCTAGTTACGACATTCATTGGAAGACTTCACTGGTTTTGTGGTAGAAATGTTTTGTGGTTGCAATTAATGGCTTAGCAAAACCCAATGACGCGACTTCCAAATTTGGATTGCGATTTTGAAACATGTTTTCTTTCATTACATCTATTACTTTTATTATGACGCCATACCAGATAATCACGATTTGACTTGTGAAGCTGAAAAACAAAGTAATATTTTACTTGACTTACCTTTTAAAAGGCATAATAAGATATGAGAGTTAATAATAATATAAACACGTATTTTTATTTAAATATTTCGATATTTTATGACATTTTTATAATCATAAATCAATAAGATTTAGGCTTGTTACACAGGTGATGACCTCAAATGAGGTCACATTTACACACAGAGGTACAGAGAGTCAATTGATGCAGGTGGCTCAGAACGGTTCCTTATGGCAGTCTATAGGGGAGACCTATGTCCAATATTGGACAGATAATGGCTGAAATGATGATGATGATGATTACACAAAACAAAGTGTAAGTAAAAATGCTAGTACTCAGTCAAGGCTATGTTATAATGATCAAATACAACATGAACTGTTGTAGATAACAGTTAAGAATTTCTAGAACCAGCATGAAAACTAAACAAATTAAGCAAAAGAGGATATATATAATAA